CGTCGCTGTCAGTGCGACAAAGAAACTCCCAGATGCCTAGTTTGATGGCGTGCTGATATCCTAGGAGAGCGATTTTTTTGTTTTGTTCTACGTTTAATACTTCGCAGCACGAGGATCGAACCATTTTTCATACGTCTCTAATTGATGGGACAATGAAATCAATCTTTGAAAAAGGGAAAGTTTTCTTCAAATAGTTATTTATTAAGAAATAGACAAGTTATATCCATCATCACCCTGTATTTTATAAAATATTATAATTAAACTAAGTGACATATAAATCCGAACACCCAGTTTAAATGGTTTTATTTTAATAAAAGTTGGCGAATGTATTTATCTTACTGTAAATAACAAGTGAAAAAATTTTCAGCCGTATCTGTTGGACATTCCGGTTTTTATACTGCTTTTTTTTAAGTCACTAACGCTCTAAAAATGAATATTTCAGCCGCAGTAAAGAATCAACGTTGGCGGATTTTGGTTCTTGACATCCTTTACGATCGGTTACGATGCCTAGAGTACGGAGACCTGTACGATTTCGTCAACTTAGTGAGTTTGATAGGGGCCGTATAGTGGGACTTCGGGAAGCTGGACTTTCTTTTCGGGTAATTGCAGTTAGAGTGCAAAGAAGTGTAGACACTGTGGTTAGGTGTTGTCAGGCATGGCTTCGAGAAGGCCGTACGCAAAGGGCAAGGGGCACTGGACGCCGCCGTAGAACAACAGACCGTGAAGATCGCGGCCTAAGATTATTGGCCTTAAGGGACCGTTTCTCCGCTACCAGGTCCATTGCAAATGAATGGTTTGCAGAACACGGAAGACCTATTGGCATGCGAAGTGTTTACCGACGAATGAGAAGTTTTGGCTTGTTTTCATACCGGCCACACTGGGTCCTCCCTTTAACTCGAGAACACCGACGTAATCGCCTTGAGTGGTGCAGACAACGGTCACTCTGGGATCAGGAATGGAACAGTATTGTCTTTAGTGACGAGTCTCGATTTTGTTTAGGCATGCACGATGGTCGTGCCAGGGTTAGAAGGCGACGTGGTGAAAGGAGGAATCCACAGTTTTTTGTTGTTCATCACACTGTTGGAGTTATGGTTTGGGGTGCTATAGCTTATGGTTCCAGGTCACCTTTAATCTTCATCAGAGGTAACATGAACGCGCAACATTATATCCACGAAGTTCTAGAACCCCATCTTTTACGCTATCTTGACACCCTGGCAGATCTAACTATCCAACAAGATGATGCCCGACCACATGTTGCAAGAGTCACAATAGACTTCTTTCAACATAATGATGTCACATTGTTACCATGGCCACCAAGATCTCCCGACTTATCTCCAATTGAGCACGTGTGGGATATGATGGGTAGGAGATTGCTCAATTTGCAACGTCCTCCTCAGACTCTAGAAGCACTTCGAGAGGAGTTGGTGGTTGCCTGGAATGAGATACCACAGGAGGACATTGACCACCTGATCAGAAGCATGCCTAGGTGCGTTGGAGAATGCGTAGCACATCAGGGTGCATCCACACATTATTAAAGGTCAAAGGGCTTTAAAGCAGTGCAATCATTTTGAAATTTTTATCATTTACTTATTATGCTTCACTAAGTACTTATACAAAATTTTATTAAAATAAAACCATTTAAACTGGGTGTTCGGATTTATATGTCACTTAGTATATAAAACTGAAGCACCTTTTTTTCACTTAGTTCACACAAAGGACAATTCGGTTTTTCTAATCGCATAATCAAAAGTATGGATCCAAGTGAAAAAGCCTAATACTCTAAGTCATTACGACTACTTTCTCATTATTAGAGCATATCGTGCCTCGATGTCCATGCACATACACGTACATTGTTTGTCTGATAACGGATAAGGGTAATGATACCTTCTTTGTCCGCCAACTGATATATCCACAGATAACAAGATCCATTTCTCTGTGTCAATACAACGAACTCCCCCAAGCCAAGCCAACTTTCCTTATCAGACATCTACGTAAATAGTTTGTGGATGAGCAGACTAGGGGGACAGAGGAGAGAGAGGTCAGGAAGCTTCAGGTTATACAACACTTATCTGATATATCTGAATATTTCCTTCATGCATAAAAAATGTGGACAGGTGTGGAATTATCGCAAAATTACTGCGAAAATTTCACGTTACCTACATAGTATTCATAATAAGGGCATCTAATTTTTCCGAAAAAAATCGAAAAAAACGTATTTTAACAAGAAGACGAGGACTTTTGCACCTGCACGAATGTTTTTTGTTAAAAAAATATTACTCTGCATTGTGATTTTTTGTTTTTTTTTATACAGAAAAAAATCAGATACCCTCTTTTACTACATAAGCTGACTAGCACTGTTTAAAAACAATGCTACGAAATTTATTGACAGTACAATCAGAAAAATTGTTTAGCATCGTTTTCTTGTGTCCTAGGAGCCCATAGTTTACTTGTTATTAAAGGTGACAACAGCTGTCAGGTTTTGCCGCAGATGGAAACCATTTGTAATTAAAAATTGCACGTTTGTGATTGGTATAATCTAAGACTAGGAAATAGTCAGTCAAAATTGCCCAGTGGGTATCGAAAATCTATAGTTACGATTGATGAAATGGGCATTTGTCATCTTGGCATGCATAAATAACGAATTCCAAAAGTCGTTGTGAAGACACGTTTCGGAAATGATTCTTTGAGTTTAATTCAATAACAAGTGATCAAAAGTGAACCTAAAAATATAATACTCAACCATCAGTATATACTAAGTGACATATAAATCCGAACACCTAGTTTAAATGGTTTTATTTTAATAAAAGTTGGTGAATGTATTTATCTTACTGTAAATAACAAGTGAAAAAATTTTCAGCCTTATCAGTTGGACATTCCGGTTTTTTTAAAGCTTTTTTTTAATTCACTAACGCTCTAAAAATGAATATTTCAGCCGCAGTAAAGAATCAACGTTGACGGATTTTGGTTCTTGACATCCTTTACGATCGGTTATGATGCCTAGAGTACGGAGACCTGTACGATTTCGTCAACTTAGTGAGTTTGATAGGGGCCGTATAGTGGGACTTCGGGAAGCTGGACTTTCTTTTCGGGCAATTGCAGTTAGAGTGCAAAGAAGTGTAGACACTGTGGTTAGGTGTTGTCAGGCATGGCTTCGAGAAGGCAAGGGGCACTGGACGCCGCCGTAGAACAACAGACCGTGAAGATCGCCGCCTAAGATTATTGGCCTTAAGGGACCGTTTCTCCACTACCAGGTCCATTGCAAATGAATGGTTTGCAGAACACGGAAGACCTATTGGCATGCGAAGTGTTTACCGACGAATGAGAAGTTTTGGCTTGTTTTCATACCGGCCACACTGGGTCCTCCCTTTAACTCGAGAACACCGTCGTAATCGCCTTGAGTGATGCAGACAACGGTCACTCTGGGATCAGGAATGGAACAGTATTGTCTTTAGTGACGAGTCTCGATTTTGTTTAGGCATGCTCGTTGGTCGTGCCAGGGTTAGAAGGCGACGTGGTGAAAGGAGGAATCCACAGTTTTTTGTTGAAAGACATGTTCATCACACTGTTGGAGTTATGGTTTGGGGTGCTATAGCTTATGGTTCCAGGTCACCTTTAATCTTCATCAGAGGTAACATGAACGCGCAGCGTTATATCCACGAAGTTCTGGAACCCCATCTTTTACCCTATCTTGACACCCTGGCAGATTCAACTTTCCAACAAGATAATGCCCGACCACATGTTGCAAGAGTCACAATAGACTTCTTTCAACATAATGATGTCACATTGTTACCATGGCCACCAAGATCTCCCGACTTATCCCCAATTGAGCACGTGTGGGATATGATGGGTAGGAGATTGCTCCATTTGCAACGTCCTCCTCAGACTCTAGAAGCACTTCGAGAGGAGTTGGTGGTTGCCTGGAATGAGATACCACAGGAGGACATTGACCACCTGATCAGAAGCATGCCTAGGCGCGTTGGAGAATGCGCAGCACATCAGGGTGCATCCACACATTATTAAACGTCAAAGGGCTTTAAAGCAGTGCAATCATTTTGAAATTTTTATCATTTACTTATTATGCTTCATTAAGTACTTTACAAAAATTTTATTAAAATAAAACCATTTAAACTGGGTGTTCGGATTTATATGTCACTTAGTATATTTTGTACAAAATCATACACAATCAAGTTGATTGTTCATTCATATTAAGTAAGCTTAATTTTCGTGTCCCTAGGTTGGGAAATCGTGATCAAATTACTTTCTATCCGGTTATTGGTAATACTAATTTATTGTCTAGGTCTCCGGTAAATATGATTTGTACATGTTTCAATTCTGTTTGCAGTTCCTGTGACTTATTTTTTGATAGCGAGAACTTTGTTGTGAAGTGCTACAGAGACTAGTACTTTTGTCAGTGAGAGTTTGTTTTTTCTTTTTTTAAGTTTTTTTTTTGTTTGGCGTTAGACAATAAAACGGTTTTTATTTTTTTACTCAAAAATGGCGCATAGAAGAAAAACAGTTCAAGAAAGATCATTTGTTTTAAATTGAATGGGAAATTGGCGTACTAAATATCAGTAAAATATATGAAGCGGTTCTGAAAATAATAATTAATTTTCATTTTTTTCCTGAAACTTCAACACCAGGAGCTTTTGTAAGGAAACATTTTTGGACCATAGCTTAGCAAACTAACATTAATTTTTCATGTAGATCCCCCCTCTAAATATTCGCATATCATCATGCTCTCCTGTATATGGAGACAGTTTATGGATTTTATCAAAGAGAGGAAATATAGTTTAGAAGAAAACTGTAAAGACTGTGTGGAACTTGAAAACAGTTGATGGAAAAATATCAAGACAAATATAATATTGAATTTAATCCTTCCACTGACACTGAATTTAAAACAGCTCGCTATGCAAAGAAATACCGAAAGAAAGAAGTTACAACCAGGCCTCCAGAAAAGAAAACAAAGCGTTGTGTCACTCAAATACGATGATTGAAAACTGTGAGTATAGTCTAAGGGCTCTTGCACACGAACGTGCAATCCGCCGACCGGCTGTTCCACCGACCGGCAAGAAAATCGGAAGATGGTATTTTACCCACATTCGAATACAACTTAACACACTTGCCGGTACCGGCTATTCTGCCGACCGGCCGCCGTTCATATTAAAATTTGTACGGCGAACACACGGCTGCCGGTCGGTAAATTAACCGGCGCGTTCATTTCAATGCATGCAAGTCTATGCCTGTTGACACACGAACGGGGATTCTACTGTCGCCGTGGTACAGAGTCGTAGTTTCATTTCCGTTTAGACAGTGTAGTCATGAGGTGCGAAATGGAAAATTTAGATATTGAGGCATTTATTTCTATGGTGGAAGAAAGGCCCGTGATATGGGACAAGGCAAGAGAGGATTTTAAGGATAGGAATAAAACTAAAGCCGCCTGGCAAGAAATCATCGATACATTTATTTATGAAAACCTGAACGAAGCAGAAAAGGCCGAAATAGGTATGTAACTATGTAAGATAAGAAACAATATTAACTGTATTTTACTTAATTGCCACGGTACAGATCCATTACTATTGAAATATTTTGTGAAATGGTCCCGTATATCCTTCCCGCTTCTTGATCCTCGCAAATTTCGCTCTCTTGGTATGTCTTCGAGGTTTATGATTTCTAAGACATCGCCGATATTAAAACCATCTCTCATTCGTACTAAATTATGCAAGATACAACATGCTTTAACAATGTCAATGACGAATTCGGGATGTACGTTTATAGGTCGATGAAAGATTCTCCATTTGTTGCTAAAAATACCGAATCCACATTCAACATAACGCCTGGCACGTGATAAACGGTAATTAAATACACGTTGTTGCTGTGTTAAGTTGTTTCCACCAAATGGACGTAGCAATTTATCACTTAATCCAAAAGCCTCATCGCCAACTAAAATATATGGTACAGCCGGATTTTCTGTTCCTGGTAAGCATTTTGGGCAAGGTGTATACAAAGAATCTGAATTCAATGCATGAAAAAATGTTGACTCTTCAAATACGGAGGAATCACATTCTTTACCGTATGCTCCAATGTCAACATATCGAAAATAGTATGATGTGTCCACGACAGCCAATAACACGATTGAAAAAAAATGTTTGTAGTTGTAAAATAATGAGCCACTTCGTTGTGGCTTCACAATTCGAATGTGATTCCCATCTATCGCTCAGAAACAATTTGGAAAATTGGCTTTATTAGCAAATCCTGCTTCACATTCATTCCACATCTTGTCTGATGGCGGTGGGATGCATTCATCAAGTAGGATTTCCCAAATTTTCCTGCATACATCCCTAACAATACGTATTGTTGATGGTCCCAATCTGTATGCGTAGTGAAGATCTGTGAAAGTCATACCGCTTACCAAATACCTGCAACAAAATTATTTCTTTTTTTTTCAGCTAAAACACTATTGCAAAAATGGAACAACATTTTTGACAGTTTTGTGAAGAGTTATAAAAAAAATAAAACTCTTAAGTCAGGCTCTAGTTTTAGAAGAATAAGAAAGTACATCTTCCACGATCAGTTGCAATTCCTTGCAAAAACAATCGAACACAATACTACAACATCCAGTATTTCACAAGAAAAAAATACCGAAACGATGGCGCAACAGAATGTAGATGATAGTAGCAATGAAGGCGATTCTCAAATTGATTAGGATATGATCAATCTATCCAATCCAAATGCATCAACCGCTAAACAAACGCCATCGCAAGCTTTACTTACAAAAAAGCGTGCCTCAGCACCAAAGAAACGTCAAGACGAGTTTGAAACCAAAGCGCTAAAGATCTTGGAAAAGCCGGACAGCATACCCACAATCAGTGAAGATAAATCGTTTTTTGATTCCATTTTGCCGATTGTAGAAAACTTTGATGAAGATGACAAACTTCAATTTCGCATAGAAGTTTTGCAGCTTGTACAACGTTTTAAACGAAAGCAAAAATGTGATGCTTTTAACATGACTTCTGATACCAATAGATCGCTACCTTCGTTTGTACCACCAGCAACTCAGTCATACAGCCAGCAGTGGACACTGACATACCATACATTGCAGTGTCCACAGACAATACCACAATCAAGTACGTCATTTGATCCAACTACATCTCGCTGTGAGAATAATCTTGAATATCCACATTCTTTGACACCACAATAGTTTATCCAATCTGACTTAACTACAACCAGAATTTGATTTGTTTAATTTGTTCGTTATGTTCCTTATTTAAATATATCTAGTTCTAAAATCACATTTTAATTCTATTATTTACCTTATTGTAACTGCAAGCATTTCTGTGGGTGGTATCGCTTGTCTCATGTTTGTTTCTTGGAGGGCTATATGTTTGTCCAAACGCTGTAGTAAATAATCAAACGTTGCAACACACATCCTAAAGTAATTGAAAAATTTTGCTTCATGTTCTCGTAGTCTTGTAAACAAGGTATAAAATGCTCCTACTGCACTTCATTCAGCTACCAGTGGATGAATCCATAATCTTCTTGCTAAAGCTTTCTTGTATTTTCTTCGTCTATACAATAAACACACAAGCACGATCTTCTTTTCACGTTTCGTTTTTGACAATGCACGAAACGAAAATAGCCAAGCTCCTTCTACGTCGGATGACAGTACAGCACTGGCCTTCATGCAGAAGGCAATGTAAACGGCACGTAACCGGCCGATCGCTTATCGTGTGTAAGATAATCCCGATTTCTTTGCCGGTCGGAGAAACAACCGGTCGGCGGAATGATCGGTCGTGTGCAAGAGGCCTAAGACTAAACTATTGAAGGCACGATTATTACGAAACTTATAAAAACCGACGGAGGCAAGAAATTACTTCCTGAGCTCTGCGAGACATACACGTGCCCTTTGGTACGCAATGGGCACCGAACCATGTCCCTGGTACCCCGGCGATCCCAAGTGTCGTGTGCCCATCGGAGCATGGTAAGGCACGGGCCGAGATCACTCAAGGAAAACCAACGGTCGCGTGCGTCGCTCATCTTCAGCGGTGCGGCGTTGCCGCTGTTCGCAGAATTTCTCTATGTCGGGTATTTCTTAAGTCACTCTTAATGCTGGACCTGTAAAAAAGAAACATGATTATACGCAAGATTGAAATACAATCATTTTTTAGAGACGCAGTGTTGTCATGCCCTGTAGATTTTTCTCTAACTGGAAACGACAGTATCGTTTCTTTGTCCAAGACCTAGAAGGTGATATGTCATTACGTCAAACGAGAGCAGAAAATGTGTACGTATTTTTAGTCCAGATTCATCTTGAATTTTTTTTGGACTACCCCGAAATTATGCAATACATTAAAGAAAATGGATCGTTCTCTAAACAAACTGCTACTTTCTGTACTTTTTAACACAAAAACAATTATATGAGGTATCCTTTAAAGTGTGCCTCAAATTATGTTGAGGAAGCAGTCATCCAAATTTTATTTAGATATGTTGCGAGAACGTTACAGGATTTTATTAAAAAAATATAAGTTCGGTGCCCCATTCCGTGAAATGCACTATAAGGGTCATCTGTCGCAAATTTTCTGCTCACAAAGATCAAGAGGTTTATATAGTCAAAATCACGAAAGAAGACTATTACGTCATACCATAAATTGTACTAAAGTAATCAATGGACGTGCGTCGATGATAAAATCATGAGTCAGAAACATAATGACAACAAATGTATATTATGATTTTGCGAAGTTAGGTTATTTCACTGATTATTTTTATTTTAATTTTATTTCATTGTTTTTAGTGATACCTTAATAATAGTTCTAGTGGGGAGTTTTTGTTTTGAAAAAAAAAACAGTTATGAGTACAATACCTTAAGACAGGAACACCAAAGACCAAAGTATTATTCGAAAACAACATAACCTGCTTTAACATAACCTAACTATTCATCTTTCGAATATGATCGGTCATGCAACATGAAAACATCGTCCATCTTTATCGGATACATGCACATTAGCAATACAGTTTGTTTAGACAATAAAATTCTGTTTGTCTCTGTCTAACATATCAGAAACTTCATTGAATATATTCACAAATCGCTGTCATTTGTCTTTACTACAGACTAAAATGGTGACGTAATCGTCATCTTTCGTGATTTCGACTATATGTCCTCAGCTCTCGTGATATTATTCTTGGAGCGCAATCTGGCAACGCCGCAGGCATAATGCTCGTTTTTCTCGAGTGATTCCAAGACCTAATGACATATGGCACACTTCAAAGAACGACCGTTAAAAAGTGGGGGAAATGTTGGCATCTTGAGATACTCCTTGAAGATAGGGAGTTAGTTCTTTTTTGGTTTGCTAAGAAAGAACTTTGAGTTCTTTTTAGTGGCTCAAAAAGGAATTCCATATATATTTCTTGGTACTTTTAGGTGAAATTAAAAAAGAATTAACGGTTAAGGCTGATATAGTGCAACAAATTGTGTTCTATCGTACTTGTGGGACAGCGGCAATACTAGGAATTAGGATATACAACCTGGATAAGGGAAGCTAGAAACTACTGGACATGATATAGTGGAGGGGTGAGTAAATTTCAAGACTGCATGATGAAATAGAATAAAAATGTTTGTTATTTTAAATTTCGAAAGTTATTGTAAACTGTGTACGTAATTTGAAAAAATCACGCTAACCGATTTTTTTAGATGTCGACTATTTTTGTGGCATGTCTGAACTGTTTTTTGAATTAGCGCTTAAAAACCGCTCCATTTTTCAAGTGGCCTAGAGGCTTGGAAATTTTCAAATTTTTAGTCGTACTTTTATAGTTTTAAAGATTCCTTCTAAGTAACCTTGGCGAGTGGAACACTGATTGTCTTTGTAGTGGCATACTAGTAAGTAAGTAAAATCCCTTGATAGTCTTATTCGCTCTAAGTATTGTCAATCGCAAAAATTAGATATTATACTTTTTGGATGTGATATGATGACACTCATTTCCATAAATCTGTCTGTCGGTCTGTCCGCTAATACTATAACCCCCCCTAACATCAGAAATATTGCGCGGACTTTAATGAAATTTTTGCACAATGTTACTACTAAGCTAAGGACGTAAAGCTTTGTAGCTTTTGGAAATCGGTCCAGTGGTGGCACAGGAAAAGGCCAAAACCGAAAAAGAATAAAAATCGGATTCAATTCATTTTTTGATGTTTCAGATGATCCTGGTCATTTTTAAAATACATTTTAGAGGCACAAGAAACTTGGGGGTGGAGGTAGTATGGCGTGGGGTGGGTTTATCTTAATTTTTTGATGTTAGTACACATACGCTCTCAACCTTGATAATTGTAAGCTCCTGTTCGACATATTCCTCCGTATTTTAGCCCTTGAGTCTTAGAAAAATTCTTTTTCCTCAGAGGAACTAGTTTTTGCTGAACAATCAATAACGGCATTGCGTAGAAAATGCCGTCAACGGACTAGACGCCATTTTTCATTCAAATGAGTCAATATTTCGATGGGTGCAATCCATTCCAGTATATATTCTCTATATGTTCTCATCCCACTTCTGAAGTCGATATTGTGCTTCGCTGCTAGAATCGTCGTCCCTTACGATGAACGGAATCCTCCCCCTCCCCCGTATCGATTTCTATTAATAGCCACCCTACAACAACAGGTGGTCAAACGGCATCACTCGCATCGGTAAAAAACAACAACAAAAAAAAAACGCGCGCGGAAAAAAACAGCGCTACATTTTTTAATTCGCGTTTTTCAATGACACCTATTAATACGTTTTTTACGGTTTGGCGGCGTTTATTCCGCCGACCGACAGTAAAAAATTAACTTTTTATTAATTATGTACACACAAATATATTTTATTGAGCTCGGTGTGGTGATGGGATTAACCGATATTGTTTTCAATTCTCGCGCGTGTCTAATCATTGGACCCTTATAATTCGGAAAGTACTGATCTGATTTGACGCGCGAAAAATCTTGTACTTTTCGTTGTTGGTCCAATGGCAGTGGAGCTACGGGTAACAAAACGTAAAATCGCTAAGATTCGCTTCGAGAATCTCCCGATCGTTATTATAAAAACTTTTGTGGGGGTTGAAAACGGCGGATTGGTAGACAGTACTTCTAAGCATACATTATGCATTATTTGCGGTTTAGGCTATCTATCGACCTATATGGCGCCTGTGGGTGATCACTCGTGGCAGATTTACCGGTACATCTGCGATTAGAACACAGAATGATGGAGTGATGTTGTCAATATGCGTCTATGATTCTGCTCTCTGGGCTTACCGGCGGGCGTCACGGTCTCAATGAGTCTGACGCGTCGTGGAAGAAGCGGCGTTGCCAGATGCACGGTTCTACCGGTAGGGTAGGGAAAGACTGAACTGATTGGAACTTTGTCTTGGTCCATTCGATCCTTCTGTGATACACTGTGATAACTTGTATAACTTTATCTAGTGCCGTTCGCATCGCTGGAAGATTCTTGAAGATATGGGAGCTCACAGCAATTTTTTTCAGTGACTGCTTGGACATTGCCAAAAGAGTTCTCTTTGTATATTATGATGATGTGTGAGCTCTCGACACTTTGGAAGAGCTGGGGATAGTATGTTTTCTCATAAGAAGCCAAATCTTAAAGATACCCAAACCATGCTAAGCCAGCCAGACCCTGAGGACTGAGATTGATTGTATGGACATATTTGACTGACGTAATCGAAATTCCTTTATTGTTCATGCTCTTAGTTGACTTCTTCCTCATATTGAATGCAATTATTCATGAACTTGTGACATCGTTGCCATTTTCTGTTTTGGTGTATCATATTAAGATTGTATCGTGTACAAAGAGAAAACACGGCAAAACGAGTGAAGGAATAATCAGCAATTTGTTATATTATGTAAGCCAACATTTATCAAAGGGGTGGCATTGTTTTCACTTACCCTGATCATGCTGCGATAACATACTAAACATTCTGAATTTAAATATCAATAAACCAGTTATCATTCCCACGTTGTAATATTTAAGTTTAAAATCAAGGCGTAAGTCGTAGCGTCTGTAATTTGTTACGCGGGTAGGAAACAATACTCCGCAACAAAAATGATGTCGAGGAACATGAAACCGGGCCCCCGTACATCGTCTGATTCCATTAACATGGGGGAGTAAGTGATGGGGTACAAGTAATCAATAAAAAGACAGTATCATCACATTTAGCCCAGTAACACACATCATTAGTACGGTGGAACTGTAATAGGGCTAATTACCAATAAAGCGCTGATTCCTGTAGGGCTAGGGATGTAAATTGTGCTTCGATACTTC